TAGTATCTTACTTGACATTGTACCTGGGCCTATGAATAGTGCCAATCTAAGTACTCTGAGCTTTAATATGATTCCTTCTATAGAAAGAGAGCTAGATTTGCATTCAGATGACCTGGGTTTAAATCCTCCCTATAAGGCCTTGAACAATTCATTGAACTTCTCTGCTATCTTTTTGCCTCATCTCTATGGGTTGAACTATATGATCCCTAAAACTCTAAGTCTAGTATCCTCACTCCCACCAAAAGATACATTTTCCAGTGGGTTTATGTCATGCCATTTTCTTTTTCTCCTATGTAGTTATTCAGAACATTTTGTAGACACTTTAGCGGCAATATAGAAATAGTCTAGAAATAACTTCACACCAAGATGCCAGGTTGTACTTTCTTCTGCTGCTGGAGTACCTCCAATATATCTAGATTATCTCTTACAGTATTTTATACAAGTCATTGTTGGTAATAGGCTATAGCTTTCTTACCCATTCTAGCCCACACACCTACCAAGTATCTTTCTTTCCAGTGACTTTGAGATGATAAGTAGCAGGTAATAATGGCTAGGGATCTGGAAATGGAGTCAGGAGACATGGTCACAAATTCTATTTCAGTCATTAACTAACTTTATTATCTGTGTGCCTCTATTTCTTTATCTGTGAAATGGGAATAATAGTACTTTCATAAAAAAAATTTAAAAATAGTACGCTCATTATCAGTCTGCTATGTTGGGAGGGCAAGTCCAAGAATTTCACAGGAAGAAAGATATAGATGAGGTGTAATCTGCATGGTTGGAAGGTTCACAGAATACATTTCAGAACGTGGTCATCTTGGTGATCAGAAGGATAGGACCCTCCAATTTAACTGGTATAAGGAACTTATAAGGAAATGATTAGGAAACTCCGTTTACCTGCAATTAAGTGTCCTAGAAAGTTGCCTAGTGCACTGAGAGGTTCTTATTTGCCTAGGTTTATGGAGCCAGTATGTCAGAGACTTGACCTAGTCTTCTGGGTTCAGAGGATAGGTCTCTACCATTTTACACTGCCACAGTCAGAAATCATCCCTTGTATTGTCCTAATCAGATAACCAGTCCTTCCATCTTATGAAAAGAAAGTTTGGTACAAACTTTGGTGCAAAGTTGGTGCAAAAAACATGGCACAGGTGGCACAATGGATGGAGAGCCAGACATGGACTCATGAAGATCTGAGTTCAAATCTGCACCTAGACACTAGCTGTGTGACCTTCAGTAAATCTTTGTCTTCCTCATCTGTAAAATAAGGACAGCAATAGCACCTACTTCCCAGGGTTTTGTGAGGATAAAATGAGATAATGTTTGTAAAGTACTTTGCAAAAAAACACCATAGAAATACTATTGTTATTATTGCTATTTACATGTAAGTATGTATTTCCAAAGAAGCAGGGGAAAGGATTTACTGACCTTTCTCCTTACAAGCCAAAGAATATATACTATGAAAAGAAGGGCCCCTCCCCTTCCCAGTGTGTGGGATCCCTTTGTACTAAATCCATACGCTAGATTCAGAATACTGAAGTCTGATAGTAAATACTGGTGATTAAAGAGAGCCAAGTTTCACATGGATATGTGGTCTGATTGACATCAGCACCACATCTCTTTGTTCCCCAAACCCAAAGTTAAAAAGTTGTTGTTGTTGTTTTTTAAATCACAGCTGTAAAGTGATGTTTGATATGACTTTTGTGAAGAAACGTCAGTAATTTTTCCCCCTTGATTTTTCATCTTGCAAAAAGGTATCCCTGGCTGGGCTAAGGCTGAGCCAACAGAAACTCTACATGGGACTCTCCCAAGCTAGAAAGGCTTTGAAAACAAACTGTTGATGGAGGGGATTGTCTATCATCGGAGAACCAAGTCTCCTAAATCTAGAGGGCTCATGGCCATGTTGGGTGCAGCATGGTGAGTATTTCAGTGACATCAGCATTTAATGGACATAACACAGAGACATTATAATCTTCACTGACAAAGAAAACACCCATGCTGATCCTTGAAATATTGAAGTAATATCAATGAAGTTTTTGGATCAGGGGTGGTTCTTACCTTCAGGACGGTAAATCCCATTCCTACCAGTACTATACCTGCAGCTTCTCACCTCCTGCCCTCCCCTGGTGTCTATCTAGAGAGATTTTGTGAGACATGTAGGAGCTAAAAGGCACTGAAATCACTATTATTTAGATGTGAGGATTATAGGATCCTGGTATCACATATTAAGGGCTTGAAGAGCTCTTAATGGTCAACTTCTCCAGTACCTTTGTCTTATAAATAAGGAAAGTAGGGGGCAGCTAGGTGGGGCAGTGGATAGAGCATTGGCCCTGAAGTCAGGAGGAGCTGAGTTCAAATGCCTCAGACACTTAACACTTACTTACTAGCTGTGTGACCTTGGGAAAGTCACTTAATCCTATTGCCTAGCCAAAAAAATAAATAAGTAAATAAATAAGGAAAGTCAGGCCCAGAGAGGTCACATGATTAAGGTCTTACAGGTACTAAAGGGAGTCAGGTAGGATTTGAACCTAATTCTTCTGATTCTAAAGCTAGAAGTCTTTCCATTGAACTAAGCAAATAAACACACACACACACACACACACACACACACACACACAAATGGGGGGGGAGGAGAGACCCAGACACATTTTTAGAAGCACCCTGGAAATTATCACCCAAATTCCTTATTCACTTCCTTTCTATACAATGAACTTGATTACAGTCAAACTGTCAAGGTTAAAGATGAAGAATTCAATCCATTAGATTCATAGGAACATTAGAAATGGTGTAAGTGGATCAAGCCAACAATTTATCTCATCCATTCTGACAATGATATCAAATGTTTTCAAAGCACCTGCCTGCCTCAAAACTAAGCATGCCAATACATGAATGAGTGGATTGATAGATAAATAAGGAGGTTTTTAAAACCTTTGAAATTTTTCAAACATATTCATATGTTTATGTTATCACTGCTTCTCTTATAATCTCAGAATTTTAGAAATGAAAGTTTCCTTAGAGGTAACAGAATGCAACTGCCTCATTTTGCAGAGCAGAATAAGACTACTTTCCATGTCGTATGTGTGCAGGTCTAGTCTTCCCCAAAAGGCTCTTATTTCCTTGAGCACAGAGGCCATGTCTTCTAGCAAATAAGATTACGTGGGGCAAGAAATGTAAAGCCTTTTCATACTTTACAGTGTTATATGAATACCAGCTATGATTCTTACCATTCTTAATATCATCATACAGCTTTCCTATCCTCTTGTATCCTGCTCTACTTGAATGTAAATAATCATTTAGTAATTAATATTCAACGAAGGAAGGAAGTCAAATTCATGATAAGATTGCACTGAAATACCTATAATTTCTTTTAATAGTCAATCATGGTCATGCCTTCTAAGAAAGTTTTATCAAACTTTTCTTTACCTATTGACTTTTCACTCTGCTCTACATCTTGGAAGTAATGAGTTTTGATAGTTTTACTCCTCATTCTTTAGATCAGTATTTCTTTCATTTGTTCTGCCACTTACAAATTTTGAGGGTTGTCCCCTAATCCAACTATTCTGGAATTTGCTGAACATGTCCACGTTCACCTTTTTTATACCTTTCTTGACATAGAATCACAGATTTAGAACTAGAAGGCACCTTAAGAACCATCAAGTCCATTTTTTCGGGTTAGGAAAATGAGACGTAGAGAGTTTAAGTGACTTATTAGTCACGTCATGTCTGAGGCAGGATTTGAATCTGGGTCACCCATACTCCATACCAATAGACCCTGTTGTCTGAAGCCATACAGATCTACTCAGACTGAAAACACTTGCTTGTTTGGCATCTCAAATGTAAGCATCTAAATGGACAGCCAAACTGTTTTTTTTTTTTTCATGTAGCTTAATCACTGCCCTCTCATCTATTAGAAACCCATTCTTCTTCAATATCTAGACTTGGAAGACCAGGTAATTTAATGTCAAGTGACCTGAACATCTTGACCATACAAAGTTCTGAGAGAATTATAACTCTCCATTAGGCTTTCTGGTATTACAGCTAGACTGTCTGTGAAGCAGTAGCCCTGTTTCTAAAACCTGGACTGTTTTTAGTTAATAATATTAGCCAACACATAAATATTTAAGGTTTATCCTATATATGCATTATGTCAAGGGGAAAGAATTTGGAAAGGTCAGTAAGTGTATCAATCATGCCATGACAAGAGGTCCTGCTGTTGGAGAGGGACACTAAAGAGCAGAATTAATCAATATTCTGGAGAGGGAGGTAGCTCTTAGATAGTAGGGGGTAGAGTCACGGACCTGGCAGAGTAAAAGCTTCCTGAGGAAGGTTTGTAAGAAATGAAAAGTCTCTTGTATTTTTTTTTCCTTCCTACAAATTTAAAATTTGTATTGACAGGACATGTACCAAGTCTTTCTCTTAAGGAATTAAAAGTTGCTTCACTTAATCTCACCACATTCCTGTGAGCCATTAATGACATGGATCATTCTTAGTACAGTAAGGGGGAAACTAAGTATTGGATCCATTAAGTTTGGGTCACATTAGAAGTCACTGGTGACATCCCTGGGTGTTATTCAGGGTTTCTGATGTCTAGTTCCATTTCCTTTCCCTAAAGCTACATTGACTCCATGGACAAATTACAATATGCTATCAACTTAACTTCATCTGGACACCCTCTCATTACACAGCGATGATTAATGCTCAATCAGCATAACATTACTTCTTTCATAGTGACATGAATCCTAGGCGTACTGTTTCTGACAGTCCAGTATTACCACATCACTAACACATTTCAGAATTCCATTGATCCTTTCTTACTCTTGACTAAAGTTGGCCAGAGCAAGTTAACAAATCCAAACCACCAAATGGAGACAGGATATCAAGGACGATCCTTATATGACAGAGTCATTCGAGGGCTGAAACTTTTTATTCAAACAACAAATACACAAGCCAACCACTAATTAGAAGATAACCTGAGGAAAATTTTTTCCCGAGGTTTTACTTACTTTCTCCTTTCCATTTCAAATCGACTGAGTAACTTCCGCAGACCACCATTCTTAAATCCCTGAAAGTGTGCGGCTGGAGCGCCTACTGTGATGACATCATATAATGCATCTGGAATAGAAACGGTCAAGAGTTGGAATTGGCTCTTATGTACATCAGGGCACATTGCCTGCAGAGTGACAACTACACCGTAGGAAGCCTGAGAAATTAAGTTGTTTAATTTACTAGGAATGACTATGAACCCCTGTCTCAAGGGGGCAAAAGGAGCTAATCAATCTTCCCATACAGCCACCTGTCCGCCTAAACAACTTATAATATTTCCCTGATTTATAGCTGCATCTTAATTACACACTGCTGTGCAGAACAATATGCTCCCCTTTACCTCTACCTTCTTGCTGAGACACCACTTAAATTGGTCTTTTGTGTATTTCCTTTTATTGAGTCTTATGTTGTCTAATTTGCAATCACATTGAAATTCAACGACAATGAACCATCTTTCAAAAAAAAGTTTTAGGAAAAAAAGTACTGAAAATTAATGCATCTGGGCCCACATAAAAGAGTGTCATCACTCCTTCTATATAGCAGTTGTATGGCTCTATATCCTGAAATTCCTATATTATCTAGACTATCTAAATGTCCTTTCAACATTTCCTTATCTAACTTAAAGAATGAATCCGAAATGGTTCTGGATCTTTTTCCAATAAGAGTCAGTGCTTTAACAATATGAAATGGGGGGTGGGGAGGAAGGAACCATCAATACTCAATACATTCACATTGACATTCAATCCCCTGATCTAGAAAGTGATTCATTTTTACATACATTTAGTCTATGGCTCCCAAACCTGTCATCTATTTTTCATTCTGATAAAAAATAGCCCCTGAAGGAAGGAGACTGCACAAATGGCCTGCTGTAAATAAACAAGCTACTTGAGGAGCCTGATTTCAGGGCAGATCCATTATCAACAGATTTTAATGTTGATACATGGATAGTGCTTTCAGATCTCATTTGCTGAGAAAATAGAAATCATTTCATCAATCTCAGGTGTATATCAGAATATCTGCATAGCTCTTCGATGCTGAGGCATCTGAAAACTTTCCCAACAACAAATGACTTTGTGGGAAGAGGTTTTGGTAACTCAGATAGCAAAATTCCAAGAAGTGTAGCATTATCAGTCTGTCCATCATGTATTTACAGAAGACATCTCTCTAGAAAAGTTTATTCAACTCAAAGGTTCAGAGATTTTTCAAGATGAAGAAAAGGACTCATCATAGAATCATAGAGTTTTAGGAACTAAAGAGAGCTTAAAAATAACATAGTCCAATCCCCCTCCATCTGTTTACTTGTGGAATCCTGTCCTCCCGACCAAGCATCAATCATCCCACTGCAATGTTAGCTTGTTAGGTCCTTGAAGGCAGGGACTCTTATTTTTTCTTTTGGTTTTATTTATCTTCATATCCTGAATATTTAACACAGTATCTCACACCTAGCAGGTGCTAATAAATGTTCAATTAGACTGTACAGCTAAAGAAACCCAAATCCAGAGGAGTTAAATGACTTCTTAGGGGTCAATTTGCTAATTAATGGCAGAAATGGGAGTAGAACCCAAGTCCCCTGTAACACATTGTTCCCACTAAAACAAAGGCATAATTGAAAATAATTTTCTCACAACTGTCAACTTTGGGGACTGAAAAGGAAGATGATGCTCTAAAGATAAAACATCCTCTAAAGATAAAACATTTCCTGTACTCAAATCAATTGAATGCAAAAAATAACTGAGCATGAGATTAGAAGGCAATATCATGCATTTTGACTTGAAGCCTCATCTCAGGGGCGTGGATGATCCCTTTGTATGTTCTACTGAGTAGCACTTGAACTTCTGATTTCTGAGGGCCTAACACTCAACCAATCTGCTCCAATCAGTACTGCCACACCACCTTCTGTCAAGCACAGCTCAGTATCTCTTGAGTCTCTTGCTCCTAGGTGTGACGGTAGCCAAAGGAGCCAGTGGTAATTGGTATTGATCTCAGAGACCAAACCAACTGTTTGGTTACACATCAAGTCAGATAGAACTGCGATAACCCCGCTGATATTAGCCTGCTCTACTCTGGTTGAATGTCAATAAGCTAAAATTGAGTAGATATGTTCACAGAAAAAAAGACGTGAAAAGGTCCAAAAATGTTTGAGAGTAATTTTGTGCACAACCTGTCTTTAAGCTAATACACACCGTAAATGGTAAAGGAAGTTAATGTTGTGATATTATCTTAATTATCCTGTTATTATTTAGATATTATGGCTTTCCTCCTTATTTTTACCTTATTCTTTCATGATTTCTTTTGACTTCCTTCTCTTCTCTCCTTCCCTCACTCTCTCTATTCTTCTGTTTCAATTCTCTATGATTGTCTCATAACTATAGTCCCTAGTCTTTTTTTAAAGTAAAACTTTCTATATTTTTAATTACAAATACAAATAATGTTAACACTTATTTTTAAAAAAAATTTTGAAATCTAAATTCTTTCCTTCCCTTTCTCCCTTCGACCCTTCTTGAGAAGGCAAGAATTTGATATAAATTATGTATGTGCAGTCATGCCAAACATCCTTCCCTATTAACCATGTTAAAGAAAAAGAAGCACATATTAAAGAAAACACATGTTTAAAAAAATGGAAGAAAAATAAAGTTTTTTTTTTCCAAAGTATGCTTAGATTGCATCTATGAGTTCTTTCTCTGGAGATGGATAGCATTTTTCATCATAAGTTCCTTGGAATTTGTCTTGTATCATTGTATTGCTAATACAATTTTTACTTAGTTATTCACAGTTGATCATTGTATGATTATACAATTGTACCACATTATATGATATTACTTTTACTGTGTGCAATTTTCCCTGGTTCTGCTTACTTCACTTTGCATCAGATCATAACAGTCTTCCCAGGTTTTTCAGAAATAATCCTGCTCATCATTTCTTACAGTATAATAGTATCCCAACATAATCCTATGCCACAACTTGTTCAGCCATCCCCTGACTGATGGGCATTCCCTCAATTTCCAATTCTTTGGCACTACACAAAAACGTACCATAAATATTTTTGTTCATATATATTCTTCTCCCTGTTCCTTTTTTAATATCTTTGGTACACAAACCTAGTAGTGGTATTGTTATGTCAAAGGGTAAGCACAGTTTTATAGCCCTTTTGGGCATAGTTCCAAATTGCTCTCCAGAACAGGTAGATCAGGTCACTTCTCCACTAACAATGCATTAGTGTCCCAACCTGGTCTTTTTTTTTGTAACATTATATATATTAAGAGTATGATTTTCATTTTAGGGTATTTCCTAATTTGTACTTTCATCCTCACTTCCTCTGATGCATAATGTGTCTGCCCTTATCATTCACCTCCAGAAATAAACAACTTATTCCCTACTTTTTCATCTGTTTTTCCTATCCTCAACCTCCAAGCTTAGTATAATTTACTCAGCATGCATTTATTAAGTCTCTAAGAATTAACATGTATTCTTCTAGCTTCAACAGGATTTCTTAGCATTAGTACCTTTTTTTCCTACAATTATGGCTCCAAAATTTCTTCCTGACAGACACACATTATGTACATATATACATACGTACACACACACTTCCCCACACACATGTAGGAAGAAATGTGCTCACACAGCTGCATATGCATAAAACACCACAAACACAAATATTCTAAGACATTAGATTATATATCCTCATCAATGTGAATATTTGCTCCAACTATACAAATTGCAATGCACCCATATACTCCCATACACGTCCTCCCCTAAATTTGCCACTGGATTTTTATTCATTATGCTGAATTGAAGGTTCTTGTCACTTTCTCCTGACAGTATGAAGATATTAATGAGTACATAGACTGTCCATTGGTTCTTCTTTGCCTATTCAATATGACTGGATCATCCTTTTACAGGGGAGATATTTCCATTGCTTTAAAAGCACCCTTTACTATTTCTCTTGTGTAATTCCTTACATATTCATAAAGTGTTATACCCTGATTATGCCTATTTGTTATGTCTTGCACCTTGATAATAACTATCACATCCTACCACATGACTCCCCTTTGAGTTTTAGCTCTTAGGAGAGTAGTATCCCATTACTCACAGCCATATAAAATTGCCATTACTTACATACATGATTTCCCTAGGGTTGAGAATTTTGAATAGGATAATTTCTGAAGAAAAAAAGTTTTGGATGAGCCAAATGGCAAAGGAGAGTGTGTTAAGATGAGCATAAGAAGGCTACAGGCAATCTGAAGTGATGCCCTATCAATTAGAGAAATATAAATTAAAACAATTCTGAGGTACCACCTCTCACTTATCAGATTAGCTAACATGACAGAAAAGGAAAATTATAAATACTGGAGGAGATGTGGGGGGAATATGCACTCTTGTTGGAGTTGTGAACTGGTCCAGCTGTTCTAGAGAACAATGTACAACTATGCCCATAAAACTGTGCACTCTTTGACCCAGCAATATCACTACTAGATCTGTATGCCAAACAGATGAAAGAAAAAAGAATGGGACTTACACACAAAATTATTTATAGCAGCTTCTTTTATAGTAGCAAAGAATTAGAAATTAAGGGGATGCCCGTCAAATGGGGAATAACTAAAGTAGTTGTGACATATGATTGTGATAGAATACTACTGTGCTTTAATAAATGATGAGGGTGGTTTTAGAAAAACCTTGGAAGACTTATATGAACTCATGCAATGAGAAGTTAATAGAATCAGGAGAACAATGTACAAAGTAACAACAACACTGTATGATCATCAGCTGTGAATTCTCAAAAATACAATGATCTAAGACTATTCTGGAGGCCTTACAATGAAAAATGCTATTTAGCTCCAGAAAAACAACAGATGGATGATCCAAGAGCCATACTGTATGATGATCAACCATGAAAGACTTAGCTACTCCGATCAATACAATGGTCCAAGACATTTCTGCAGGACCCATGATGAAAAAAAATGTCATCTACTTCCAGAGAGAGAACTGATGAACTCTGAGTGCAGACTGAAGCATACTTTTTGCTCATTATTTCTGTGTGTGTGTGTGTGTGTGTGTGTGTGTGCGTGTTT